CTTCTAGTGGAACCGGCCTTCGAATATCTTCACTCGAAATGGAAGTAAGCCCAACAATTATGAAACCGGAGACTCCTCGAAACCCAACTTTTCTTCGTAGATATTTGGTCTTACCTAGTTTTCGAAATTGGTCATTTCTGATAAATCTGCCTGAAAAAATGTGATTCGTCGCCACTCGTGGATACCTTGAATGGGGAGGTTGGCTGCAATGTTGACAAGGCATTTGATGTCTTGTCTAGTCGGAATTCGGAAGAAGCAATAAGGTATAATGTCAACAGTAACCAGTGGAGTGTTAGCTAAGCTTTTCAAAGCAGCTCAGGAAATGATCCTAAAAAATTTAAGGGATGCGTAGATTGTGACTTCACGAAACCAAAATAGCAAAACAACTTTTTCTTCTATAAGTTCTGAGAACAGACTGAGATAAAGGGGACAAATAAACAGAAGTCACGAGCTTGTAAAGATGGCTATCTTAAGAACACGTTAATCTGAAATCACACACAAGCGCATACAGACCATAATTTCTCAATTGTATAATCAAACATTTATAATCTACCTTTTTTTCCATTTTGGATATACCATTGCTCCAGCTCCAAAGGTTTTTTTCGAGAAAAGAGCCTTTCCCACAAATGAAGACTCCGATAGGACAGCTGCCTCATCCACCAAAGCCGACACTCGGTCAAATCTGCGCAGAACCTCGGAAAAGCAAGTTGTGCTATCACATGAAAACCCAATACCTTTGAAGTCAACCGCCAGGTCAGCAGAAGCGCCAACCTTAAAACCTAGTTATCCACCTCCTGAGGGGTCTTTGGCTCGTCCCCTACCCCCTTACAATTGCCTCTCGCCTCTACCCTCACCATCCTATCATTCGTCTACGCCAAACACTCCGACATCTCTCATTCTCTCCTCCACATCTCCCTCTCCTACCTCGTTTTCCCATCTTCCACTGGCCACATCCGCCTTACCTCTTGGTCTTAACCAACTTCTTTTCGCTGAATGCCAAGAGTGGGTACGCTCGTTTCCGCATTTTAGGGTCACTGGCCGTCAGCTGATCGAACCGCAAGATCGCGGTTTCTCATATCATTCAATGAACAGTCACTTGGAAGGTGATGGTACAGTATGGTCTAGCGAGCCAAAGGCGATTACTCAAGTGACAGAACATAAAGGCAAGTGTTCTTTTCTGACATTTCTGAAAAGTTTAATTGCATAATTCATTCCAGTTAAGGCTCTTAAAAGCGTAAAATTAACCGCATTCTCGAAGAGAGCATGTTTTGAAGCCATGAGTCAATCGTAGGTAAGCATTAAAGCATCCCCAGGTTGCTTAGGCTGATTTAAGGGATAAAAGCTAAATTTCCCACTAGTCAAAGTGTATAATTCACAATCTCATTAAGCTCAACTCACCTTTACCTCCAAAAATGAACTATCATACAGATGGGGCTACGGTTTTTAACTCGCCTCACTGCATCATAAGGAATCCGAATAAGATTAGAAACCCTTTCATACATGCTAAGTGGCAACAAATTAAATCTTTGCCCGAGTGCCACAAAGGAACTTGGACCATCAGTTTACCATCAGATTTTACAATAACTGTGTACATACTATTTCATTTAAGATAATAAAGGATTGGCAACTTAATTTTCCGCACAATTATATGTGTAGGCCTCAGGTTTCGACTGAATTTCGCATAGCCTTGCTTCCCAACAGGTAGCCTCCTTCAGGCAGGAGTAGACTGTGGATTCGACCATCCAAAGATTTCATAAGAAACATCAGCGGGACTCGAATCCGGGTTGCTGTTTTACAGCGTATGGTCTCGACAGGTTAGCCACAACACCATACTGTCAGGAGTGCCCTAGAATCGCAGGGTAGAATTGAGGTCAAGGCCTTACCTATACCAATTTTGCTGGTAGAAGTTTTGAAGAAGCAAAGATTTAGATGCTAAGGAATCAATTGCATTACTTATTACTTCGTTTTTAAGTAGGTTTTCATCACCTTAAACAAAGTAGGCTCAAGAAATTTCTTATTCAAGAGCCACTGGTAGTTTGTAGTGTCTACAAAAAATGAAAATAAACAATTTTATCGAGTGCTATGGTAAATATAA